ATAACCAAACTGCCTTCGTAAGGTATGTGTATTAGGTAGGGAAGTAGAGTCAGGCTACAGATCACTATTGCAAGCTGCAGCTAATCCAGAAAGCCAAAGAGAAGTGAGACAACCTCCTGAGGACATCCAGAGGAGTGGCCGGAGAGGTCACAGCCCCTGTGGTGTGCCCACCCTCAGCTTGCAGCTCTGGGCAGGAATCACAAGTTAGAATTGCATCGGGAGTTAGTATCTGCATCAGAAATATAGAGCCAAACAGCTGCTTGATTTTAGGTGACTCCATCCAAAAAGCCCATCCCCGTGGACATTTCTATGTGGTACAGATGGTCCAGCCAGCATTCATGATGTTTTCTCAGTTTAGGTCCCACAAAAGGGTGTCTTCATCTGCAAAGCCTCGGAGGTGAAGTCCTGTTCATTAAAGCACGGGCTTGCTTTCAGTTTGGCCCAGCACGTGCTCAGACGGAAACAGCCTGGAGCAGATGGTATCAGGTTTCGGCTTGGATTCAGGCCTAAGCAATTTTTTTCTTTTAAGATCTTTGCATTCAAGAACCCAGAAAAGTCAGCAGCTTTTCCCTGGCAACCGCAAAGCCCAGATGCTGCAAGCCAGGAGGCTATGTTTCAAGTCCAAGTGACAAGCAAGCATTCCTAACCTGCTTTTAACTTGTCAGTCTTAAAGGGCTCAAATTGACCCTCTCAAAAACACGCACGCCTTCAAGACAACAAGAAAACAACCACAGGCTAGGAGGAAAATTTTGCTAAAGACTTATCTGGTAAAGGACTGTTATCCAAAATACAAAAAGAACTCTTAAAATTCAACAATAAGAAAATGAGCAACCCGATTGAAAATTAGACAGACGAACTGAATAGACACCTCACCAAAGATGATACTGTAAGGGCCCAGAGATTGGTCTAACTGATGGAGACGCAGAAAAGACAACGACAATGCAACTGCAAAAGAGGCTTTTATTCTTTTTCCAGCTAGCTGGGGTCCAAGTTTCTGCCTGTCGCAGCGGGCCTTAACAAGGACCCTGAACCTAAGATAAAGGGATCTTTTATAGGTCAGGATTTTTCATAGAATGCAACACATACGGGGGGAGGGGGTTGAGAAGCGAGGGTCCAGCTATCACCACCTGCTCAGGTCTAGATAAGGGCTCTCAGCTCAGGGTCTGGATGACCTTGCCTCGGAGGTGCTGGGCCCTCCCATTTTCCACCTATCTGAGAGTTCCCAGACTCCTGGTTTCCGTCCTTGAGGCCCTAACAAAGTGGGCTCTGTCCTTGAAGACTTGACAGTGTGTAGCAATTAAGCTAACTCGGCCCAGCATTCCCTAACATGGCGGTGATTATGCTAACTTGGCCTAAGAATACATAGAATGGCAAATAAGCATGTGAAAAAAATGCTCCTCATATGTCTTTAGAAAATTGAAATTAAAACAATGAGATGCTACTACATACCTATTAGGATGGTGAAAATCCAAAATGCTGACACCACCACCAAAATACTGGCAAGGAAGTGGAGCAACAGGAGTGCTCCTCCATGGCTGGTGGCAAGGCAACGTGGTGCCGCTACTTTGGAAGAGTTTGGCAGTTTCTTTCTTTCTTTTTTGGGGGGGAGAGATTTTTGCTATAGGGTGTGTGAGCTCACCAGAAAGACAGAGAGAGAAAGAGAGACAAAAAGCAAGAAATCCCCCCCCCACCCCAATATGGTCATGCTGCAATCCCTTCTTCACTCTCCTCTCAGGATCTTGGGCATGCATGCATATGCATCCAGAGTGAGTCTAAGCCACCAGGTCCGGGACTCGAACTGTGGTCGACCACATGGGAGTCCAACGACATAGCCATTAAGCCAACTGCTGGTCCTGGCAGTTTTTTTTTTTTTTTGGAGAGTTTTTATTTATTTATTTTTGCTATAGGGTGCGTGCGCTCGCCAGACAGACAGAGAAAGACAGAGAAACAGAAAGCGAGAAATCACCCCCCAGAGGGGATGGTCACGCTGCAATCTCTTCTCCTCCATTCTCCTCTCGGGATCTTGGGCACGCACGCACACGCGCCCGGCGTGAGTTTTAAGCCACTGGGTCTGGGACGCGAACCGTGGTCGACTACACGGGAGTCCAGCGACATAGCCATTACACTAACTGCTGGTCCCATCCGGCAGTTTTTTATAAAACCAAATGTACTTTTGGGCCAGTAGGCGGCGTGGTGGTGAAGGTGCTGGATCCAACGTTGTCAACCCCGTGGCTTGAGTCCTGGACCCAGTGGCCTAAAAGCATGTACGTAGGTTCCCAAAATCCCGAGAAGAAAATGGGGGTGAAAGAATTGCAGCATGGCTATTCTCCCAGAGGTGATTTCTCACTTTCCCTCTCCCTATTTCTCTGTCTTTTGCTGGCAAGCTCACGTGTCCTATTGCAAAAACCAAAAAGCGAAAAACTCTTTCTATCCAGAGACAGTAATGTCTCTCTTCATGTTGTCATTTGCTTTTTCCAGAGGCTCCAATAGGCCAAATTATAGCAAAAGATATTGTTTATGGAGACTCGTATTTGTTCTATTTTAAATCCCGATCCTCCCATTGGTGGTAGAAAGCAAGGGAGTTGTTATACACACATACACACTCACACACACACACGTTTTGCAACTTTCCCTGATCCAGATGATTTCTCTAGGGTGTAGTACAAGCCTAAACATGCTGTATCGATTTTAAAAATCATACATCCAGATGAAACAGCCATAAAATACACATTTCACATTTCCCTTTTTCCTGTTTGCACATTTACTTGCATTTCTAGCAGAAAACGCAGCACGTACCCAGGGTTACATCACAGCTGCCAGGGATCCCGCTGGGATAGAAGCCGGGCCCACTGCAGCCTCTAGGCTGAGGACGCAGCTGAGCTGTATCTATTTCTTCCTTATTCTTTCCTTCCTCTGGTTCATCTAAAGCTTTGGTCCAGCCCTGGGAACGGATTCTGTCTTTTCTCCTCCTCCTTAGAGGAGAGAACAGTGCAACTCTTAACATTTTTTGACTCACTCAAAACCTACCTTGGGCCAGCTGGTGGCGTGGAGGTTAAGGTGGCCAGATCCCACATGGCCAATTATGCAGTATGAGTCCTGGACCTGGCAGCTTAAAAGATACACCCTGGGGACCAGTAGATGGCATAATGGCTATGTTGCTGGACTCACATGTAGTCGACTGCAGTTTGAGTCCTGGACCCGGTGACTTAAACTCACGCCAGGCGTGTGTGCGTATGTGCCCAAGATCCTGAGAGGAGAATGGAGGAGAAGGGATTGTGGCGTGGCCATCCCTCCTGGGGGGTGATTTCTCATTTTTAGTCTCTCTGTCTTTCTGGTGAGTGCACACGCCCTATAGCAAAACCTCTAAAATAAAAACAAAAACAAAACCCTATAAACCAAAAACACGCCCTGCACGTGTGCCTATGTGCCCCAAATTCCGAGAGAATGGACTGCAGCATGGCCGTCCCCCAGGCGATTTCGCACTTTCCCTCCCCTTTGGCATGCACATAAGTCTCACAGCAAAACTAAGAGAGTATGTCCGTGTGTGTGTGTGAGTGTGTGTGTGTGTGTGTGTGTGTGTGTATATATATTCACTTCATTTTCCTCGTACTCAACGTCTCCCCAGTTGACTCAAAAATATCCTCTAGAGTTGGATTGTCCCACCTGTGTCTGCTCCAGAACCACACGCTACATCTGGTAATGACCCGTGGTCTGCTGTAACTTGTCACAATCCACTTCTTTTTTTTTTTTTTTTTTTTTTTTGAGAGGTTTTTGCTATAGGGCACGTGTGCTCGCCAGACAGACAGAGAGAGACAGAAAGCGAGAAATCACCCCCCGGGGGGATGGCCACGCTGCAATCCCTTCTCCATTCTCCTCTCGGGATCTTGGGCACGCATGCACACGCGCCTGGCGAGGGTTTAAGCCACCGGGGGTTTGACTACATGAGAATCCATCGACATAGCCATTAAGCTAACTGCTGGTCCCACAATTCACTTTTTGTGATACTGGCAGAACTGGCCACCTCTGGGAGTGTCCGGCTGTTCCCTTAGCTGGTATATGGCCCGTTCCTCTCCCCCGTGTTCCCCATACACTGGAAGGTGTGGTTAGAGAGCCAACCCATTCAAGTCAGGCCGTCACCATGGAACAGGGCACCGGCAATGACACACTTCATTTGCTCCCAGTCTGGAAAATCTCACTAACCCACCCACAGCCAGGCTAGGAGTGACCCCTAGATTGTCTGATCTTGCCAACATGTGGTTCATGACAGCCTATGTCATGAGTGTGGTGTCACTTAGACATTGCAGCCATATTCCATTCCCCACCTGCCTAGTCTCTGCTTGTACCACTGATCAATAATCTTTGGTCAAATCAGTAATTTTCTTGGGTCTTTGGAAACATTGTTCCAACTTGTGGGAGGCTGCGCACCTCACACACCAACTCTTCCCTTCCTTCTATAAGGATTAGCTGGGTTTTTCCCTCAAGTTTTCTCTCCACAATTAGGACTACTTGTTAATCTCAAACAAGCAGTAACCCATGGATTAACATTGTATTTCCCTTAAAAAAAATCATGGGGACAGAAGGTTCCCGGTTTGCATCTGCAGACTTCCCTGAGAATACCACATCCTTGTATTCGTCCAGGGTTGGACGAATTAGGGTGGATTATAGCATTGAGACTCTATTAGAGGTGCTGACTCTCTGACTCATGAAAGAAATAAACTAGAAAGAAAGAAAGAAAAAGAGAGAGAGAGAGAGAGAGAAAGAAAAAGAAAGAAAGAGAGATCTGAAGAGCCCAGACATAAGCAAACTGCTGAGACACTGCTCTGCAGGCCGAGACCACATGGAAGAGCTGGCTTCCATTCTTGGTTTGACCTAAAGGCAGGATGAGGTGGCATGTGCCTGTACTCCCAGCATCTGAGGGGGCTGGCGGGAAGATTGTGAGCTCAAAGCTGGCCTGGGCAACACACAGAGACCCTGTCTTATTAAAAAAAAAAAATCTGTGGTAGTTTTGGCAAAATAATACATTTATTATTACATATGATTGGTAGATACATGTTGCTAATATATCCTTTCATTTTTTTTTTAAGTCAAAATAAAAATATTTTAAACACCATACAATTACAGAGATCCTTGAGGACTGAGGGTGGGCTCAGGGGACCAGTCCATTTTTCAGAAATCAGTGTGCGCAGAACCATCCATTAGCAAACACTTTCCCTGCTACTGAGCTGTCTTTGAATTGTAGGCCTGGTCCCAGCTCTGCAGCTAGGAAGCCCCAGGAGGTTAAATTCACCACCCAGGGCAACTGCTACTTTGCTGGCCCCCCGGAGATGATTAGAGGGCTTCCCTGAAGGGACCAGAAAAATTCCTGAAGCAGAAACAGAAGAGGCCAATGAAAGGGACAGACCAATGAAGGGGATGGTATGGAGAGTGCAAGGGCTCATTCAGAGGGCTCTTGGTGGGGAAGGAGGACACCGTCCCCAGGATGAGCACTCCCTAATACCCCCCGAATTCAGCAGCAGCAGTGGGTACGGTTGACAGAAGAATCTTCTGCAAATAGTTTCAGTTTCTGGAACCTGAAGACAGGGTCTGACAAGGCCCTTGACTGAACCCAGGAGGTCCCAGCACGCCAGGAAGGTAGAAGAACTTGGTCAGTAAAGGATACCAGTCACTGATCCCAGCTCCTGAGAGGCACATTGGTTGGCTGACCATATGGTTGCTGGGGCAGGCGGACTCGCACAATCACACTGGAGTTGGTCACACGTGCTCCATAGTGGCCAGCCCAGTACTGCGTGTCCTTGCCCTTGTGTTCAAAAGACACAAAGCGGACTCCTGTCCTGATGTTGGAGAACACATGGGTGACCTGTAGGTAAAGGAAGGGGTCAGCCCTGCAAGGCCACAGCCTTCCCCTCGAGGCTGAGTTGGGACTATCTGGCAGAGGGTATTTTCCAAAGATGGCAGCAATGGCATCTCCCATTCTATATGTTCCTCTAGAATCTTGCCTCTCCCTTGGGCAGAGATGGAGTCTAATTCTTTTCCCTTTGAATCTGGGTGGAGTTGCTTGTTACTAAAAATGCTGAGTGACCTTTGCCAGATGACTTTCAAGGCTAGGTCAGAAAAGGTAATGCAGCTTTTACCCGTTTTCCTAGAACCTCGCCCTAAGCCACCAGGTAGGTAAGCAGTCTGACTGAGGGTGCCATGCTGTGAGAAAGCCCAAGTAGAGAGATCCCATTAAGAATCCTGGGACCAGCAGTTGATCTAATGGCTATGATGCTGGACTCGCATGTAGTCAACCATGGTTCGAGTCCCGGACCTGGTGGCTTAAACTCACCTGGGCGTGTGTGTGTGTGTGTGTGTGTGTGTGTGTACGCCCAAGATCCCAAGAGGGGATAATCTCTCGCTTTTTGTCTCTCTGTCTCTTTCTGTCTTTCGGGCGAGTGCATGTACCCTATAGCAATAACCTCTCAAAAGAAAAAAAAAAAAAAAGAATCTCTGAGATGGTCGTTGGGGACAGCCCATGGCTTGGTAGTTAAGGAGGCCAGATCCCATATCTATGAGAATACCCTCTCAAAAAAAAAAAAAAAAAAAAGAATCTCTGAGATGGTCGTTGGGGACAGCCCATGGCTTGGTAGTTAAGGAGGCCAGATCCCATATGGCTGACCATATGGTTCTGGACATGGTGGCATGAGAAACATGCTGGTCTCGTGTGTGTGTGTGTGTGTGTATGCACGCCCAAGATCCCAAGAGGGGATAATCTCTCGCTTTTTGTCTCTCTGTCTCTTTCTGTCTTTCTGGCGAGTGCATGTACCCTATAGCAATAACCTCTCAAAAGAAAAAAAAAAAAAAAAAATTATAAAATACAGTGGGGAGAATATAACTAACAACCTACTTAAAATCCTGTGTGTGTGTCCAAAATCCCAAAAGGAGGGAGAGATGGGGAGAAAGAAAGTACTGTGGTGTGACCATCCCTCATGGGTACTTGCTTTCTTTCTCTTCTGTCCCTGAGTACATGTGCCCTTTGGCAACATTTTTTAAAAATAGGGAACCAACAGGTGGCATGGAGGTTAAGGCTCTGGACTCCCGCATGGCTGACCACGGTTTGAGTCCCATACCTGGCAGCTTGCTTTCTCACTTTCCTTCTCTATCAGTCTGCTCAAATAATAATAATAATCATGATTAAAAAAAAAATTCACGTTGGCAATGTTGTCTCTGTTTCTCTTTTGCTCACTGAAGAAATAAAGTTAAGAGGAGGGGAGGGGCTGGCAGGTGATGTGGTGGTTGAGGCACTGGACTCTCACATGGCCAACCACGGTTTGGCTCCCAAACCTAGTGGTTTGCTTTCTCACTCTCCCTTTCTCTCTCTCTCTCTCTGGTCAAAATCAAAGAATAATGATAATAAATAAAAATAAAGAAATCTTAAAAACAAATATGGTGGTGGTGGGGAAGCAGCCAGTAGTGCAATGGTTAAGCACTGTGTAGAGGAAGCCAGATCCCATGCAGCTGACCAGGGTTCAAGTCCATGCCCCAGTGGCTTGGAAAACACACTGCGCACACCAGGTGCATGCTCGCATGCCCAGGATCCCAAAAGGATGAAGAACTTGGAGGAAAAAAGTTCTAGTGTGACCAAACTCAGGTGTGAGGTGCTTTTTCTCTTCTCTCTCTCTCCTGCATATAAACCTCTGGCATTAAAAAAAAAAACAAAAAACTTTAAAAAACAACACTCTTACAGTATGTTTACTTTATTCACTGAGGTTTATGCCTAAAGTCAGACATGCGTTCTTATATGTGTATATATCAGCTGTGCTTGATACTGAAAGTCTATAAATTAATTAAGATCTTTAGTGAACCAATAAAATGTGAAAAAAAAAAAAAGGCATGGAAAATAACTGAGACCGTGTGGGAGAAGGGGGAGTTGGCAGAGGGTGAGAGGTAGGTAATCAAGGTGGGGGGAGAAGCAAAATATGTAAGAAACAAGAAATAGAAAATGATTTGTTGATGAGAACCAGCAGTTAGCGTAATGGCTATGTCGCTGGACTCCCATGTAGTCGACCGCAGTTCGAGTCCCGGACCCGGTGGCTTAAAACTCACACCCGGCGCATGTGTGTGCGTGCCCAAGATCCCAAGAAGAGAATGGAGGAGAAGGGATTGCGGCGTGGCCATCCCCCCTGGGGGGTGATTTCTCGCTTTCTGTCTCTATGTCTCTCTCTGTCTGTCTGGCGAGCGCACGCGCCCTATAGCAAAAAAAAAAAAAAAAATCTCTCCAAAAAAAAAAAAAAAAGATTTGTTGACGATAACACGTATGGTTAATATCCTTGGTTGAGCCAATATACAATGTATACTGGATGGAAAATCTCGTTTTGTGTGCTGTATAGATGTACAGTGAATGACTGTAAATTAATTAATTAATAAAAAAAAGATCAAATAAAACAATACCTGAGACTAGACGAAACACATACAGAGATGCTTGGCCAGCCACCAGCTGCTGCGTCTCCCCAGCCCCACCCTGCCCTTCAGCTCCAGCCATGTCCGAATGCCATTGTCTGAGCAGGAGAGGCTGGGGCCAGACCCATCCACCTGAGTTCTCCAGTTATGGACTCACAAGGACCAGGAGCAGTAGTCTAACAATCACTGTTGATTTGAAGCTGCTTAACTATGGGGTGATATCCTTTGCAGCAATCGCTAACCATCACAGACCCCCACCATCCTTCCCAACCCTATCAACTCACCTGGAGGTTGATATTGTTGTTCCACTGCTGGATGGGGTCAGGTGTTTCAAAGAATTCATCTAGGACAGTCTGGCGGGCATCTAGAAGTTGGACACGGATCTGGTACTCGCAGCCACAGTCATGGCGGGCTCCCCACCTGCAGGAGTGAGACCTTGAAGGCTGGACTTGCCATAGTATCTCTTTGGCTATCTGCCTGCCCTATCCAAATGCCCTCCTCCTGTATGCAAATCCTGTTTCTCTAAAGGACTTCTGGGAGGTGATCTCTGGATTCTTGGGATGTCATGTCTGACAGGGGTGTCTTTGTCTGATGGGGACCTTGGGTCATCCTGGATGGTCTATCGTGATTTAGGGCAGGGATCGGCCATCTTGGTATAGATGGGCTTGAGGTGGGTACTGGACATTCTAGAGACCAACAAGGATACAGGATGGGGCTTGGGGTTCAGCAATACAAGCAGGCGGGGTCTTCAAAAAGTTCATAGAAAAATGCGTATTATGAAAAACTATACCTGGATTTCAAAAAGGTTTTACACCAGGGCCAGCAGGTGGTTAAGGAGCTGGACTCTGCACGTCCAACCATGGTTCAAATCCCAGACTTGGTGGTTTGCTTTCTTGTTTCCTCTCTCTCTCTCTCTCTCTCTCTGTGTCTTTCTGGTCAAATTAAAAAGATAATAATAATACATAAAATTTAAAAATATCAAAAAATTTTTTACACCAAATGATCTTATACTTTCATTCATTTTCCATGAACTGTTTGAAGCATCCCCACATGAGTTGGCTGGAGCCTGAGATGAACCACATGGCAGTGAATCAATCACTCAGGCATAGTTGATGATGCTCCAGGAAACAACTCTGGAACACATGGAGCCCTCCCACGCGGGTCACTCTTGCAGTCACAATATGGATTATTGTCCAGCTGGTGACAATCCATCACCTTATCACACAGCAATGCCAGGTGAGTGACATGTCCTGACTCTGTGGGGAGAGGATGAGGGAAGCTCTGCATTGGTCATTCCCCCTGGATGCTGCCCTATGTGCTTCTTCTCTTGGCTGATTTTACTCCATGTCTCTTCCTTGTATAAAGGTAATTGTGTAATAGCTTTCTGTGAGTTGTTCCAAAATGGCTGGCAGAGTCCCCCTGATTTGCAGCTGGTATCAGAAGTGGGGAGCCCTAGAACTGTGCCTCTTAGCTTTTAGTTCGTTTAATACTTTTGGCAAACATTGATTCCTAGCTCTCACTTTCGGACACTTGGATTTCATTGGTATGGAGTGTGGCCTGGGCATTTGTTTTAAAAGCGCCCTGGGGGAAGGGGCAGTGCCAGCAGGTGGTGCGGGGGTTAAGGTGCTGGATTTTCACATGGCCAACCACGGTTCCAGTCCTGGACCTGGTGGTTTGAAAAATCATGCTGGGAGTGTATGCATGCATGCCCCAAATCTCAAGAGCAGAAGTGGTTGCGATGTGACCATCTCCCACGGGGGTTGGGAAGTGCTTTCTCACTTTCTCTTTCTCTCTCTGGTGAGCTCACATGCCTTCTGGCAAATTTTAAAATAAATATACAATTGAAAAGAGTGAATTTGTGAAGGTCCAAAATTTCAAATGGTCACTTTGCCTGGCTCTGCAGTAGCTTAAATCTGGGAACCACACATCACAGTAAAAGGCTTTTCTTCCCTATGAAATTGGAGAAAAGGGACCAGCCAGGGGTGTGGTGGCTAAGGTGGCTGGATTCTACATGGTTGAGTGTGCAGCTCCAGTCCTGGACCCAGCGGCTTGAAAAACACAACAGAGTATGTGTGTGTGCATGTGTATGCATGTGTGTCTGCGAAATCCCAAGAGGAGGGTGGAGAAGAAATTACCACGTGATCATCCCTCTGAGGGGTGCTTTCTCCCCCTCCCACTCTCTCTCCCTGGTGAGAACACAGCGGAGTGCTCTCTCACTTTCTCACCTATAAGCTAGTTAAAATAAATACATTAAAAAAAAATAACTGGAGGGGACCAGCAGTTAGCGTAATGGCTATGTCACTGGACTCCCATGTAGTCGACCGCGGTTCGCGTCCCGGACCCGGTGACTTAAAACTCACGCTGGGTGCGTGTGCGTGTGTACCAAGATCCCGAGAGGAGAATGGAGGAGAAGGGGCTTCGGTGTGACCATCCCCCTTGGGGGGTGATTTCTGTCTCTCTGTCTCTGTCTCTCTGGCTCCCCATGGCAAAAAACCCTCAAAAAAAAAAAAAAAAAAAACCAGTCTGCTGTCCTCCAACCCAGGGGATGAGGATAGGTGCTAAGGGTGTACTCCACTATCTACTAGAGCCACAGCGACGGCTAAATTACTTCAGTTGCCCTGGCTTCACTTCTTTACCTGTCAGGGGTTGTTAGGTCACCCATGCAAAGGTCATGCTTTATTTAGTTGGCGAGGTCATTACCCAGTTAGTGCTTAAGCAAAGTCCTGTTTGTATCCTAGTACTCACCAGTCGGAGACATAAATCTCAATCCCGTCACTATCCAGTAGTTCCGGCCACAGACCCTCCTCCTGCAGATCCAAGACCTGCTTCTTGCTACACCAGCTAGGAAGGCGGGAGACGGGTTAATGAGAACAGGCAGGCTTTGCTCAACAACTGCCAGGCCGCCGGGACCTGGGGAAACCCGGACATTCACCTGAAGGAAGTCACAAAGCAGGTCTGCGAAGGGGCCCCGGGCACGGGCGTCTTATTTTCCTCCACCACCCAGCGGTGCCCACCGTGCTGCACCACCCATTGCTGGAGGCCTTCTGTTAAACAGGAAGAGGCTTGCGCTGAAGTTCAAGTCCCGGGTCTGGGGCTCCGAGTGCGGCCGGGCTCCTCCCACACGCCCCGAGCGAGGCCCCGCCCACCCACTCCCG